TTTTTTTTAATTGAAAATGAGCGTGGCGTCGCCCACTTACGGACCAAAAACCATATCTCAGGAAGTTCTCGACCGATTTCAATGAAATTCGGTATATAATACTGTCTTAACACCCTGACGACATGTACCAAATATGGGTGAAATCGGGTCACAACCACGCCTGAAATCTCGATTATCACTKTATCATGCGAGAGTATAAAATGTTCGGTGACACCCGAACTCAGCCCTTCCTTACTTGTTTTTTTTATAAAAATAAAATTTTATTGTAAGGAAATGGAAATATGGAAGKAGAAATTATTCGAACCTTTCCCATCTTTCTGGCAAAGCTCGAATTACATTACAGTGAAACTGTTATACTTGTAATGCTAACCAAGAATCAAGCCATCGAACTGAASAAATAATAATCGTACGGTCTAATAACAGGTGCTCACAGCGGGTACCGCGTCGAACACTTTCAGAGCTGGAGTGTTTTCGTCCATACGTATGACATGACATAACCCGCGTAGTCGCGGGTTCCTTAATGCGCTGAACTATGACAATGTTGTCGTATATCTCATACAACCCATCGTTCCATCGAATGCGATTTTCGCCGTTGCCAATGCAGAAAGAACCATAAATCTTCCACAGAACCTTTCTGTCCAAAACTCGTAACGTCGACTCATAAGATGTTATCATCGTCCATGCCACTCCACCATATAGCAAGATGGAAATAATGAAGCACTTAAGAATTTGGTCTTTGTATGTAGAGAAAGCACTGTTCTTTTAAACTGCYTACTCAGACCGAACTAGCACCTGTTGGCAAAAGTTATTCTGCGCTGGATCTTGAGGCTGACGTTGATGTTGGTTCCAAGATAGACGAAATTATCTACTTCGAGGGATATTGAAAYCGACGTGGGAGCCAAGTCGCGAGGGCGACGAAGTATACTCGTAATTTAATACACCGCAAATATTTCTAAAAACGGGAGAACTTATCACAAACTCATTAACTATGCGGAGGTGTCTTAAAATTTGTTGAGAACCCGCCGAGGCGTACAATTAAGCCCTCAACACTGTACTTCAACAATATATTTTCGCATTTAAAATTAATTGATTGGCTGAGGCTATTTACTATCAATAATTTAATATTTCAAGTCAGTTTTCAATAAATTGCGAAACTATTAAAATCTCATTAATTTCACGCTGYTTTATTTGCTCGAGCATACCATATTATTCACGATTTTTCTGTACAGAAGGGACAACCATGTCGAGCCTGAGTCGCAAATTTCTAGTAATTTTGGYAATGCAAGCAATTTTCTGCCACAGTGTAAGTGAAAATACTTTTGGTTAATATTGGAAGTTTTAACATTTTACTTACTGCTCAACAACAACAATTTATATAGCATGCAGCTTTCTTCAAAATGACCAAAATGGAATGTAAGATTATCGATAAAACCTTACTACAGCTGAACGTGTGTCGCCTGAAGGCGGTAAAACGAGACGTTAGCGAGGCGACAGTACGCATGCAGTTACAAAGGCCAGTTGACAATTGCGATGTAACTCAATGCGAAAAATAATTTACCATACCATCAAAAATACTTATGATATTTATGSTTTCAGTTGCATGTGGAACTGCTGCGCAAGTACACCTCGTTTCAGCCCTTCTTTATCAACAAAACTTTCGATGTTTGCGAGTTTTTGAAGACACGGAAAAATGCTTTATATTTAGACATATTATTCAAACTGCTGGCGAATTACACGAATGCCAACCACACTTGTCCTTATGATGTCGGTATTAATAAATAAAAGAAAGTGGCTGTGGACTTAAAACTCTCGCTTACAATTGTTTCTATGTTTTCATTATTCTTTCAGGGAGAATTCATAGTCGAGCGCTTCAGACCGTTTCACAACAATTTCATGCTGCCGCTGCCCACCGGTGACTACCTCATTAAATTTGTCTTTTTTACCTCAAACGCTATGATTTTCCAATTATTCGTGTGGTTTGGCTTCAAAGAACTGGATGACTGGGAAAGTCGCCGCAAATTCAAATGGCTTCCGCAGTAACTGCACACGACATAAGAGTTCTTTTTTTTTTTTTTGTTACTTTTAACGGAAATGTATTAAGAGATGTTTATTAAATCGGCCAGATCTAACGGTTGTTTGGCATTATTATTATTTTTTTATGTTTGTAAAAATCCACCATATTCTTCAGCGCATATTTTTACCATAATCGGTCAGCCGCCACTTCGAACAGCCAAAATGACAGCTATGTGGGTTGAAAAGTTTAGCCTTTAGATTTCACATTTCTCAACTATATACTTAATAGTAGTAGCACTACAGACAACAACAACAACAACAACGACTGCGCTGACAAATTGCACACAGCAGCCGACAAGCGAATAATCAAGCGTCATTAGAGACAGCAAACGGCAACGTTAAGTGCCACAGCCGTCGACGAAACAAGGCAAAATTGAAATTCCAGCTAATACGCGCAAATKCCGRCTGTGATGTTAATCGACAACAACAATTGCCAACAACTGCCAAAAGCAGTACATGGCAAAAATACCAACAACAACAACAGCAATAACGAGGCGCTGACAGTCCCAGCCGGTGGCGGCTGCCGGCGCACACAATTGGGCGGTAGGCGAAGTGTGAGACGAGCGCTGCCAACTGCCGAACGTGTGCATTGTTGCTGTACGGTGTTGGTGGCAGAGTCTTGCAGAAGGATGCGCTGGGTTTGGATGCTGAARCGTTTCACTTCCTCTCTGCAATTGTGCTGCGTGCGACCAGCACAACGAACTGCACATCAAAGCGGCCGAATAATTTGACCTAAACATGCAAGATACTTCCGTTGGTCGTAAAAAAATACTTAAACGTATGTACATATGTATGTAGAATTGTAAAGAAGTATTTTTAGCATTATCGATTTACCTAAAAACTATAATTAGTAAGCAGCTTGTGCTGTAATTATTTGATAGAGACTCAACTTCAGTGATTGAATCTCGGCGTAGGTAGCGTAGCACTGAARCTCGGTTTTTATACATATGTATTTAATAAGTATGCAAATATTCATACATATATCTTTCTACGTTTATACATTTCAACTCCTTCACCGYCCATATATTTTCGCCTACTCGCCACGCATTGTTTCTCTTCCTCACTGACAACCTTTAATTAAATCGAAAATGTAGAACTGTTGAACTCAGTCTTAASAGGCGTTTATTTGGCACATGCCGCGCATAATATTTAGTTTAATCACCCGTATCGGTTAAGTAAGTACATCAGGTGCGCACGCAGAATATTTTTGTCGGGGGTTTTGCCTTAAACAATATTTAAGTTTTTTCATCAAAGGCATTAACGACAGTAAGCGCTTTCCAGCTATGGTCTTGTGTAAACACGGGCGAGTCAAGGTGGCTGGAAGCCATATACAAATATTCCTTAAAAACTAAGTCTTTTCACTACTTTGAAAAAATTAAGGATTTTATATATCTCGGAACCGGCATAAATTGCACCAATAACCTAAACCTGGATATCAAGCGCAGATCGACTCTTGCCAACGGGTTCCACTTTGGGATCAGTCAGAAACAGATCCTTCTCTCGACCAACAAAAATTTCGCTCTACAAGTCTCTCATTATTATTCTCMCCCTATTATACGATGGAGAAACATGGGCTATGACGATCCGAGATGAGAAGAAGCACTTGTAGCATTCAAGATAGCTGTTCTTCGCAAAATCTTTGGAGCCGTCTGCTTTGGCTATGAATATCGAAGAAGTTGTAACCGCGAAACTTGATCAGCTCTACGGCGGCTTGGATATAATTARTGCTCTAACGAAATGCTCGAGACCCATGGGTGGAGAACGGAATCAAAGGCGCCCACACATTTAACGAAAGGACCAAGTGCATAGCGACCAGTCTCCACTTCGATGATTGTCGAAGAAGTTGGAACTATGAACTGTATGAGCTCAACGGCGACTAGGATATAATTAAGGGCATAAAAGTCCAACGAATGCGYTGATTAGGTCATGTCATTCGCATGGAAGATGMTACTCCAGCGAAATACTCGACACCCCTGRGTGAACAGSGGAAGCAAGGGCAGCCACGCATCCAGTGGAAGGACCAAGTGCACAGCGACCAGTGTGCTTTTGRAATATACAACTGGCGTGACCCCACAAATACCCCGTTGGACCGCACGCCTGTGA